GGTGCCGATTAATAGTGCCGCAAGCGGAGGCTTCGGCATCACAAATTATAGCCAGGATCCTATTCCATTGATGCTCAGTGTCATTAGGGCGAGAGCGAAAATTTGGTATGCAGGGTATCCTAGTAGGTTTGTCTGACTGAGGGCTAGTTTTACTTCTCTATTACGAGTTAAGGGAGACTCTTGGTACTCCACCAGACAAAGTGCAAGGAAGTACGACGGTGTACCATAGTATGATCCGAGTTGATGTAAGTATACCATAACGAGTAACAATTCAAATTGGAACCACGCCACTTGAACTTGTAGCAACGTGATGTATTTGGCTCCATCGCTGGCCAGCTATAGGTGCCGCCAAGTGGCACTTCGGCGCCCACTGTGTCTAAAAGCGGTGCTACTAAAAAACAGCTGTTGCCCCGCACACAATTGCAACAGACGCTCACTGTTGTCCTTCCGGTCGGAGTTAAGTCCATAATTACCACCTAACTGAGCTTCTGTGGAGTCCAGACGACCAACTTGCGCATTCATATCCCTTGCAACAACAACGTTATCAGCATTATCAACACTGCGAAGCAACGTGCCCATTTCGTGGTAGTTGTCCTTATCAGCATCAGAATTACAGTCAATAGGGGTATAAGCGGAAACCACAAACATCCTATTTCCTTAATAAACCCTATTGAGGTCAAATGGGCCTGACGCAAACGGCTGCTCACGGGAATCCAATCAGCCAACAATGAATCCTCCTTAGAGCTGAGAACAATGCCCACCCCCGCTTTACTAGTGGTTGCTGCGTCAACGTCTCCAGATGCGTGCAACATTTAACGAGGGGACATGCCGGGCATAGTTAGCTCAACAACCACTTGAGGGCCATTGATCCTAGTTTCGGACACGTAACACACCTCAGTACCCAAGGTATCCAAGGTGCGTGCGAGCGCAGCCTGTTGACCTGTTTGTCTTAGAATGCGAATGTTGAACGCCGCCACCGATCTCATTGTGTCGCCAGTTGTTCATTACCTCGTTCTGTTCAGACGTGTTTTCCTTACTCTAGGACTCGTAGTTTAAAGGTAATGAGCTTGTCGTGTAATCTGACGGCGCTGGTTCGAGCCTTTGTTGGAGCAGGACGAACGTACCATTATCCTTAGCCCACGTTCCACCGGTGGTGGTTGCGCGTCAGTGAAGCCTCGGTACTGTGTACCGGCGTACTGCTGGGATTCTGAAAGATTCGTATTAGAAAGATTAAGGGAGACTGGTGTAAAAGAAAGAAGGGGCGTGCCAGCAGTAGCACATTTTCGCTTATCCGCTCTGCTGTATGCAGCATGTAGGGCGACTGTTGCAAGGCTGCTCGACGGCTGATGCAAGATCCGGTTGGAGTTTGAAGAAATATCTATGGTTGTACGTGGGCTGAGATACTGCCAGTGTGCCGCGACCTCGACAGGAAGTCGATTAGGGTCCTAATCCAAAGCGTTTGGCTCAAAACCTATCCACAAGGCAGCGGGGACGTGGCAGTCATTTGATTTCGGATCCTAAGCTGGAAGGCCAGGCGAGTGAGTTTATGTGGCTTCTAACCATTACCAACTTGGTAGGAGTAGCTCTCAAGGAGGCCAATGGTTCCACCAAGTATCACTCAGTGCTTCCACGAGGTACAAAGCCCGTCGCACCACGTTAAGGTCCAGTCTCGTTTCGATTGGGTCGAATAAAAGCTTCGAGGTATGTGACTGACATCAGTGGAATGGATAAGTTCATTCGGATAAGTAGGCGATAGTGATATTACTTAGTGGCGAGTCACACTTGCGACGTCGCACTATTGTTAAACCGACTTTTGTGACATTTTGTTCGGAAAACATTTTCCAAGCGGAAACCCAGCACTTCTTTTGAACTATTTGCATGAACCGTATAAACCCGAATCACTTAGCTGGCACCACGGTGAAATTGTTCATAAATGAGCTGAAATTCGTCTCTTTATGGATTTACCCTGTTCTTTGCTTTGGCTCTCTACCTTATGCCGTATAGATTCTCGTTCTGCTTGACTCACCGTTCGTTCAAGATGATTCTCAGCTAGCATGTTGGGTAGGCTCATCATACGTCCATCGCTGCACAGGATATAGTCGTGCTCAGCAGTAGTTAGTACATTACGTCCGCGTGCATCCATCGCGCTGGATTTTCTCCAACAGTCTTGGTGGGTTCGATTCATTACTTCGGATGGGCAATGACTTCATTTCATCCGGCTTAACAGAACTGATGCCAGTTAAATAAGAGAAGCTGGACTAATATCAGGTTAGGCACGTATACAGCAGTTGCGAGTACCCGACGGAGAGCTGATGGATGTGCAGTCTTCAAGTAGACCAATTGGACAGTAGAATGTTCGAACTTGCACAGGAAAAGAATCCGTAAACAAAGTCAACTTCCTAAGAGTAGCGTAACATTGCCATTCATCTAACCAAAAAACTAATTTTGCGTGGAGTAAAACTGGTCTTGCCAGGCTACTTGTTTTGAGCCGTGTATATCTGACCCGTTTTATGGGGCGAGCGATATGTGGCCTATTAATAGTATCAGATCCATTGGACCATGTGTTTCTCCAATCGCTCAAACCACACTTGCCGTAGTTACATACCCCTGGGTCCTGAAAGTAAATGCACTGTTTTTTATTTAAATGTCTATAAGACTAACTCGAAATCACGAGTTGTCTCCTTCAAAGTATGGTGCTTGGGAAGATACACAGTTGTTCCAACCTTTATCCGTTGATCGTAGCAGTACTGAAAGTCCTTCTCCGTTGGAGAGAGAGTGTTCATTCGTTACAATTTTTTATGTTTTCTACAGTTCCATGGTGATTACTTTTCAAATTAGATTTCAAGTTAGGGAAGAGGTAGCAATCGTATAGAGCTCGATCAGAACAGTAAGAAGATTGTGGCAGTGTGGCGATCTTTTTCTTTGCCAAAAGCTCGAAATAAAAACGCTGTGTGAGTGGGCGCGTTATCATGGTTCATCACAGCTATAATCTACCTTCGGACTCTTTGGACCCGTTTTCGAAGTCGTTCCAAAACACCTTTGTAGAAGATCTAATCGGCTGTCTGTCCTAGAGGTATAAATTCTTTGTACACAATTCCAAGCCTGTCGAAAAAACGGCAATCATCATTTTCGTCAACACAGCTTGCACAACCTCCACATTTTGATCGTTTGTCGACAAGATTGGCCTTCCGGATCGAGGTTTGTTTTCAACCCTTTGTGAAGGCTTTATGCCACCTAAAAGCCATATTCCTCGATCGAGTGGAATCTTGCTAAGCTTCTGTTAAATTTTCAAATGTCTCGGTAGCATAGTTTCAAAAAATTTGATAACCTACCATTGTTCGACATTTCGCTCCACCACAAACGTGACGTATTTTCCCATGACCTTACACAGATTACTGTGGCGCGGAAATGACTCAACCGATCAAATTGAAACGAGTCTAGACATGTGGCGAAGATCTTTTCCGATGCGCCGATATCCACCAATGTGGTGTTACTTTGTCTAGTAGTACAAAGGAAAAGTAGTACGCCTACTTTTGGAACATAGTAGTATATTTTGCCGTGTGCAACGATTCACGCTCAGTACACTCACACTCGAAGGCGTAATTACCACTGGTTGATGCCTATTAGGTTCCGACAAACCATCTGTGTTCTCGAGACATGTCGATGCATGGGTCTCTAAAGAGCGACTAGCGATATTATCAGTCGTTAGGTGAAACCCAAGGATTCTGCAATGCAAATAGCATGATAGTGTGCGTGTGTGTTCCAACCCTCGATTAGCCGAGCTTCAAATAATCTGGATTGATGGCTTACCGTGTCACCAGTCTTGCAGAAGGCCACAATCGCTTGGGATCTTCTCTCTCTCCTGCGTTCGTATGTATTTTGAGTTGAGCACTCACTAGTTCACGTCTTCAGTCTCCACTACAATCGCATACGACCTCATATCCCGCTTAATATTGCTGGTTAAGTTTACCTTGGAAATATATGTTCAAAATCATCATAGCAACTCCGGTATGAACTTATCGCTGTAGCAACCCTCTCACACGGACGCCAGCTAGACTGGTCCAGTTTAGTTGCGGCCGGTTGCTGCAGACTTCCTCAGGTCCGGCATAGCGTGTGTTGCAGCCCCAGGCAGGAAATCTCACTGCATCCACATTGATTTAGTTCTGTCTGTATACTAGGTTGCTCGTAACCTTACTGGTAAAAACCAACTCCTTAGACGGCGCAGTGGTTTTTTTGTCCCTATGATTCATAGAATTCCATAATGGTTTGCTTGGCACTAATCACACATCCTTGAGAGCTTTAGAACAATTCCTTTTCCAATCGCACGGTTTATGACAACAGCCAATCGAAAGCGAGTTTCCTTTTTAGGAGATACCTGGTTTGAAGCTGCGATTAGTAAGCCAATGTTCACTATTTGTGTCTTCGCACCGCCACCTAAGACCGGGTACGCCGCATCTGCTCTACACCAATCGAGTTGGTTTTCACTCTCTCAAATCATTGCCACTTGTGTCTGCGTTACAAGATGTTCGTCTGCCCAAGCTCAACCATCTTTTGGAGCCAACTTTCAGGCTTAGTTTGTTTGACCTTTAGTTCTTGACATGTCTGAGGCACTCGTATCATTTTACTAAATTCAGCACAATGAATCGTGGCGGCGAACTAGTCATCCTGCACCCGTTTTGTCCCATCCTTGTCACAACAGCCCCTCACCCGTCTGCAGCTGTTTTTGGTGATCCAACACCAATGTGTGAAACATTGTGGCTCCGCCAGATGGTGGTTTCTATTCCTGTTTTGCTTGGCTGCATTTTGAGGCGTATGTCAACCACCCTCATTGACAACTTATCCTGATGCTCCGCATAGTGTGCTTTTCGCATTTCGGCCTAACAATGCCTGTGTTTTGTTTTGCTCACACAATGTCAGCCGTGCGCATATACCTTTTGATACACCGCATTCTGATGGTATTCCACTCATTTTTCGTATTTACTTCTTGCTATCTCTTTCAGTGGAAGTCCCATCCGCATCAAATAGTAAATTCATAGAAGGGCTTGAATGTGAAAAATCCGATGTTATGACGAACCATGGTTCCGGCACACGATCACTACGGTGCCTACCAGCGTACCAAGCATACTCTTCCTCAGGCCAGGCGCTTGGTCGCTTTGTATTCGTGAATTATTGTCGTTCCGAGGATTTGGTCGCCTTTGATCTTGCTCAAGGTCGTAAGGCTGAGGAACCTAGCCTGCTGTGCTCCTCCGACATTATCGCTGTGGCTCGGTTACAAATGTGCACAAGACAATCGAAAATACTGTCTTTGATGCATCACTGTAAGTGTGGTAAAAATGGACAGCCCCTAAGTGACCATCACCCTGCTGCCTTGGTGCTTTATCCAGACCCGGCGGATTCCGTACCATCTTGCCATGACATTTATCCCAACGGGCCTGGCCTTCCTGGCGATGCACCTGTGTTCGGTCACGTATGCATGGCTCATCATGGAGGAGGTAACCCAAACACACCATACTTACCTTCTTCACGTGAGTCTATTTCATGGTTACATTTCATGACGGTTTTTTGTCCCCACGGCTTCCGTGTAACTGAAGATCCCTCTAGTTTGCAGATGCCACGAATGAATTTAGGCATCGATCGTGAACACTGTCGTTCACATGTTTGGTTGATATTTACCTTACCTTACCTACATTATTCCATTGGTTCTTCGTTTCGGCAATTTTAGCCACTGTGAAGTAGAAAGTCCTCATTGAATAGTTACACGCTACATCTGCGCGTACTGTTTCGTCCATCGGACTACCGTCCATACTTAGCAGCAAAAAGCTAGAGGAAATTCACTTGATTCTTCCGATGCAAGGGGTGGCCCAGCTATGTACCTGACATACCTGTTTCTCTAGTACATCCGATGCTCGAAACTTCGCGTACACTCACTCGATCGGTCCGTTCTACTCCACATACTCGCCATAATGGGGTTACCACCAAATTTGTGAACATTCCACTGATCTCTACTCGAATGCTACATGTCACGTTAAGCTATACGACGAATTGTCAGATTCCTTTCCAACAACACGCATTTACTGGGACTTTCCGCTTTCCCCACTTTTTCAACCATGTCCTAGATTATCCCCTTCCTGAATCTCACATTGTGATCATTGAAATGATGTCTGGCGAAAGATTGGTTGACCTTGGTTGTGTTGACTATATTGTTCATTCACATTCTATGCACCGGATGCCGCATTTGGAAACATCCGGAGATTTCCATGATATCTACCGATGCAACTGGTAACCTAAATTGTCCAACTGTGAGCTGTTTTAGAAGCTTGGTCACGCACACTGGCACAGATTTCACTTGTGGTCCAATCCGGTCTTTCCGCACTTTCCCGTTTACAGCACATCGTCCAGTACTTTTCGGAAGCACAACACCAATTGCCCCGAGCAATAAATTTAAATTAAGCGGCTTCTACTACCCAAATTTTATCAGATCTAATGTTCCTCCACACGCCTGATTCATTTGCTCCAAGTCCTCTGGCATGATGTGGTCGACGTTGAGTATGGTTTATATCATCTGATCTATAGTCCGTTCGACGTGGATGGATATATATTGAAATGAGGCAAGTCATCGGCTACGGAAAGACCACTGCTAATAAAACCCGGCCTTTGCGGGTACCTTTTGCCAACGAGACCAACCTGTAGGTAATACTGTCGCAGCTGAGTAGGTTTTATTTGCCAGAGGTTTAATGAAGGACCCTGGCCTACTCTCACGCTGCATTTCGAATTCCGTTGATGATACTAGTAGGCTACACTGGAACGGACAGTGCATGATTGGAGTCACTTCTAAGTACTCGTTGTGTGCTTCGATTTTGACTCGCAATCTTCGTGCGGATCACTAGGATCGCAGCTGAAGAAGATGGAAATTGGTTGTTACCCGTTCGAAAAACAACACTCTACTACACGCTTCAAACTTATTTGATCTCATCGGGTGGAGATAGTAGGCTTCTAGCTGTTTGTCTCATAACATATGGAGACCAGAGCTTTTACCCGACGTATTTCTGTTTGATGTACGAATCGAATGCTTGCCCTTTACATGGATACTGCCAGATAGTACACAGCAACTCAATAAAGCTTGCTCGTATCGACATAAAAAATGCCTCAGCCACCTGTTCAACACTATAAACTCTGAACGATTTAAGCTTTATCCAATATGGCTGCGACGCTTAAAGTAAACCTAACGTTGATTCTCGGGTTTTGGAGCACCCACTGTGTGCTTTGGATTCCGACACGCAATCTCAATTGTTGTCTCGGTTGACATTGAAGTTAGCCTCTGCAAATGCGACCAATTGGACCGTCGACGAAGAGGTGGGTTTCGGTGTGGTTCTGTCCCATCTCTGCACTCCATGACCGACGATTTCGTCCTGCTTTGGACTCATTAGGTAGAGAAATCAGAGCTGGGAGTGGAACCCGGCCTAAAGTGCGTGGCGGCCATTGAGCTCTGCGTGCAGTGCTTAACACAGCGGTTGGAAGTAGATTTTCTGGTTTTGAAGCACCCGCCGTGTGTCTTGAATTGCGACACGCAGTCTCAATTGTGCCAGAATGTGCACATGGTTGGCGCGCTGACGAGGGAAGCATTGATAAGTTTTTCGATTTTATGTGGCAGCTACAACAAACGAATGTGCGCGCGGTGGGTTCAAGAAATTCTGAATGCATTTTATCAGTCAGTGCGTTCTGATTTGTGACAATGCGCCGTGTCACACGGATATCGAGATCGTCTTCCAGGAGGGAAGGTATCGAACAGGAAGACTGCTACGGCTAACACCACATTCTCTGTCGCTGAACCCTATTGAAGGTCTATGGAGTGTTATCAAATCTTATGTGAAGGATGCAATGAGGATCAAGGATGGCGACCTGCTGAAAGGGGATCCGGGATGCGTTCTGTGAAACAGTGAGTGACGTACAAAGTTTCTTGAACACGTGGTAGCTGAAGCGCGCGGTTGCGTTACGTCGCATCACTGCGAGCACATGATGCGACGCGTACCCGGGAAGTACGGACGCGTAATTCATTCGCTTGAATTATAGAATACGGTCCTTTGAATGGATCATTTTTCTGTAAAATTGTTGCCACTTTTGCTCGATAGATAGAAGTGGTCTTGGTGCATGAAATGCTCAGCATGGCGGATACAGAGCATTACGGATCCTTAAGCAGTTGCAGATATTTGTTGCTGTTGTCAATACTGCCGGTGTTGGAAAAGCAAATGCTTCGTTCTTTTGCTTGTGGCAGAGCGGAGGAGTAAACTGTATTAAATAGGGTACTTGTTAGGTGGGCGGAAGGCTCGCAGACGGCAGTACGTCTGTGAAGGTTGGGTATGTATTATTTGTACAGCGGCCCAGAGCCGATATAAGGCAATTAACCGACACCATTTACAAGATACCGTGGCAGGAGACGGGATTGTCAGTCGTCCGTCACATTCCATTATCGGTGCATGGTTGCGGCTCAAAGTGGGAAAACGGCGATAACTGGTGTGTACCCAAGTGGTCCACGCGCCCACGGAAGGTCAGTGGGCGACCGCGATATCAAATAACTGGATGTTGTATGCGGGGCATCAATTGCAGATGTACCTACGCGCCCTTCAAACCTATAACAGGTATTCACGGAATTTGTATTTGTGGAGGAAGTATGACAGAATAATAGATGCAGTGCCGACATTCCGCGGCGCTGCGCTAATTGTTTATTCCTTGACTAATTCATCTATTTAGGTTACTGCAGAGGCTACGACGGTTTGTGCGCACCAGAGAATTTGGTGTTCATCAGAAAAGCGGTTTTCCAGTTGGCGTGCACACAATGCGCCATCTTGCTTGTGTTAATACGACGCGGTCAAATCATGAGCGCCATGGGGGACACTGACAAAAGTGTTGATCTTCTATCATGTGCTAGCTTGAGTAATGCTGTTCCTTTTCATGTATGTGGATTGTTTGTCGAGTTACACGACAACTGCTTCATTCATATGCGTTTATATACTCATGGCAAGAATCCGCTGCTATTCCCGTGCTGCAGGGATTTCACATTGCATCCAAATAATGCCATATCAGCGGTGGTCCGAATATTTTCCAGTCATTTCTGCAATATGGCCAGTTAGACGTAAGGCAACAATAGGCCTTACTCACTGCGTTAGGTGACATGATGTTAAGAGTATAACGTTTTGATCACTCACCGAATACCTATCCCTAATGTTAAATTTATGCAGTATTCTTAGTGCATCGCACTAAGAGTGCATAGCTAACGAGCATCCGTAAGTGGTAGAAGCCAAAGAACTGTAGGCAAGCTCCGTTATTGTGGAATTCACATTCAACAAGAGTACAGAAAGTAGAAATCAAATAGACATTGAATTCACACACACAGCAGTTGCACGGTAAAGTATCCTGAGTCGGTTGACGTATTGGGTACAAACAGGCACTCATTCACACACAACCCCGACACTTAACAGTTATCACATGTTGCGCGGGTACTCCGCTAACGGTCCAGTCAATTGCCGCAGCTCAGACCAGGTAAGCATCTGTTCTGAGTTCCAGACAAGCCTTTCGCGTACCCGCTGTGGCTGCGCGATGACTTTGAGTGTCTGGTTCTCAAGCCCTTTGCACAGTAACAGCCTGCCTATGCCGCATCACATGTGTACCATGCTGGCTTACTTGGGGAAGACAGTCAAGCCTTGGAGTGTCAGTGTTTGGGTGAGCAACACTATAATTTTCATATTACTTACGGTCTTTTTGATCGGAATGGCCGAGGTCCACCTCAAGTGAACCGAGGTCTCAATAGAGGTTGCTTGTAGCAACCCAACCGCCAGCGGATTCTCCAAATTCATCTTTACAGTCAAGCCTGGTTTACACGGTTGCAGCCTTCAAGATTTCGTCCGTGACTGCCTGCTTATGTTGTCCTCTGAGTGCATTGCAACAGATTTCGTCCATAATTGGTGTCACCCACAGTGCTGGCTCTACGTCTAGTTAATAGACTGTTGAGATACATACATACACCCACAGTTACCCTACTGTGCGATCCGGGCTAAGTTAGGAATTATAGTGTTCTAGGCGGAGGCTGACCAAAGTAGTTCTGAACCGGGTACAATGCTTTCACTCTTCCACGAAACTGGCAGGCACAGATCCAGGACGGTGGTTCTGCTACAACATCAGCCGTGATTGCGCCATCCTAAGCACAACCACAACCATGTCCAAAGAAGTTATAATTTTGAGACCATTAAAAGTTCCTTCACAAAACATGGTATAAGATTCTTAGATAGATTAATCCCGGTATTCTTACTTAGTTTAAATATCACGGAATGTTGATTTCTCCTTTTAATACTACATCAGTGAAGTTTGGTTTTCTGAGGTTCTGTTTTCGGATATTCTGTAGCGCTGCTTGCCAAGGATTTTTTCTGTCAAATCGTTCCGAGATCACGCTTGTTTCACTTTGCGCAGCTTCGACATTACAAAATGCATCCTGTGTGTTATTCAGTGACTACCTCTCCTGTTGCCTATCTCA